AAAATATTGTTTGCACATACTCAATAAGATTTCAAATCTGGTGGTATTGTACACTTGCCTTGTGTGCTGAGCATATAATACCAGGCCAAGTAAATGTAGCCCCAAAAAAGTGAGATACCTTGTAACCTCAAAATACACATTTTTGGCGCCTAATCAGTATACAATGCATATTTACATAATGCCAATGAGATTATTCTTTGGTTTGTGCAAATAAATCGCAGTGATTTTGCACATATAAATAACGATAATTTTTGTAGAATTGTCATCAGTCAGTAATCACTGTTCATTACAAAACTAAGTAAAAACAGATCTGTTAACTGAAGTCTATTCAATAATAAGATATAAAAAAATTGCATAAAAATCCATTCAAAATGAGAATTTCATTTTTATTCATTTTCGTTGTGTTTGCCATCATTGTAAGTATTCCTAACGTTTTACATGAACAAAAAATGCTAGAAAAATATATCCTATATAATTATTTTCATCAACAGGCAAGTACATTAGCTGGTGCTGATTCGTCTTCAAGCTCAACAAAATTAGTTCATCGCTGCCGATGCAGGTAAGTTTCATAAAATTATATTACAAGAAAAAGCTCTAAATTTCTAATAATAAACGTTCATTTCAATGTTAATACAGACCAAGAAAATGTCCAGAGACATCATCATCAGAGGACAACAGCTGCAATTGCGAAAATGAGTGTAGTGACGTCTGTAAAAAGAAATAATGCACCGGTAAATCCATACTATTCGTATTATAAGCATGACTTATACTAATTTATGCTTTTATTTCCGTAACCAAAATCGCTGCAACCGACTCAATTAGTATCGAATTTGACAAACAACCCACTAATTTTTACGGAAATGATATCTACCTTGCTTCGCTTATTTTATTCATTATCTATTTATTATTAAACACTTTGCACATTATTTCATTAAATGCACGAAAAAAATTATAGTTTGAATTCTATTAATAAATTATTTTCAATAAAGATTTCAATGTAAACCATTGTTTTCTTTCACATTAATTACATATGTGTTTTAGTTAGTTATGGAATCAAAGAATTCGACTGATCTTTGGCTATAACGTTTTCATACTATGTCCAATAATAGACGCATATGAAATAACAGGTCATTTAAAAACAAATAAGAACATCAACTGAATTGAAAAATAAAAAAATGTATACTTACGATAGAAATATTAAATTTTCTTGATTATATACCCATAATTCTGTATTTTTATAACAAGTAATCAATAGCAAAAACTGTTATTTTAGCCGCTGATGGGTGATAGTTCTTATTTATTTGCTTAAGACATTCAGACATTGTAACTTTACAGGCTGATTGAGAACTAGGGGAGAGAAACCAATGCTAGTTTTTCTAGTTTAGAGCTAATTTACTAGTTTTTAGCTAATTTACTAGTTTATTGCTTGAATAATCTAATAATGCTAATATTCCTTTATGAAATTGCTAGTTTTACTTTTCCGCACACACCTAGTGTGTAAGGTAAAGTATTGGAATCGGTCGAAAAATTAACACCCATAAAAAATGTGTTTTCTGGGTGTTTTTGGGGCCAGGGAACACGAATCTAGCGTTTTTTCGATGTCCGAATGTATGTGCGTACCCTGTACCCTGTACCCTGTACCCTGTACCCTGTACGCTGTACGCTGTACGCAAAAATTTGTTAACACGATAACTTTCAAACAAGAAAAGTAATTCAAAATCTGACTTCACAGGATGATTGGGGGTGCCGAGCAATAGAAACCATTAGATTTTGAGCGACTTTGGTTGACAGGGTAAAGTGTCATGTCTGGTGTGATGCCCATGTCCATCCATGGGAAAAATTCAATTTTTCTTCCAAAAGTGATATTTAATGTATTCTTAAACACTCAAAAATGTGTATTGGGGGGTTTTTGGGTACGAGAAAACCGAATATGACGTTAGTTTTGCGATACAAATAACTTTCGAAACACTTTTCATACAAAAAATTCAAAAAATTTGGATTTTTGTAGGGAAGCCATGCCTGTATGATATCGTAATGAGCTGAAACTTTGCACTGGTTATTTTTATCACACATGAATACTATTCCGAGAGTTTGAAGACATTTCAACGAATATTAGGGGCACCTCCCGAACAATATTTTGGATTTTTCGCTCTAAAACGAAATTTTGTATGGGAAGTACCCTTAATATGCATTGAAATTTCTTCAAACTTTCAGAATGTTAACTTTTTGTGAAAAAAATAACCTCTGCAAATTTTCACATGATTACGATATCATATAGGCATGGCTGCGATACAAAAATTCTCATTTTTAGTAGTTTTTGTATGAAAAGTGCTTCGAAAATTATTAGTATCGTAAAACTAATGTCAGATTCAGTTTTCGCGTGAATTCTTTGAGTAAAAGATTTCTAATAAACGCATGTTGTGGATCACAGTGCGGAAAAGTTCATCTTACGGATGTAAGACATTTTATTGCTCGTTAAATTCAAACACGAAATGTTCATCTCATCATCACACAGTCTATACAAAAGCTCATACCCATTTTCCCTATGTGCATGTGTCGCATTGTTTTATTTTCTTGCACACCGATCCACAATCTGTCTGCGCTTTGGATGCCATACACATCGCATATATTCAGCAAGAATGTGTTTGATTTCAACAAACTCACGTAGTTTTTCACACCACACACCCACTTAACTTTCATACGATGCGAGAAAAAAGTCTATAACAAAACCGCGCCATTTTTTGCATCGCAGTGCAATTAAAACATCATGTTCAGAGAAAAATCGAGAAAGCAAGCACGAGTGAGTGCTAAAATGAATGTTGTGGGAGCAACAGTGTCGTTTAAAATGATATATCGCTGAAAAATAGTTGCCTTCCGAAATGCAAGCGGAAGCTTTTTTGTTAAGTGCTATTTATCATTAAGCATAATTGTATCAAAAATGAGTGTTTGCTCGGCAAATTTTTATTTTGTTGTTCACAATCGCTCTCTCTCTCTATCTATCTATTTTGTACTATCAATTGGTTGTCCGTCCATTAGCAATAGAGAGAGAGAGAGAGAGAGAGAGAGAGAGAGAGAGAGAGAGAGAGA